ATTAAAGGGCCAATGAAACAGTGCCACGTGTGCAAGTAACATGTTCTGGCCAATCAAATGCGGTCTTGTCACACTTCAATTTAATTAATCGGAAAGAGTTTGTTCTTATCGTAACTCTTCCATCCCACAATTATAAATAGGGGTCTTCATAACCCAGAAAAGACACCAGAAGTTATAACAAGAAGCAAGAGAGAGCTCGTGGATCAAACGCCGCAAATTTCTCTACAAGTTTCAAACTTCAAGCAATCAAGTTCAAGTTCAAGAAATCAAGTTCAAGCTCAAGAACGAAGAACAAGTCAAGATTCAAGGAGTACGAGTTCAAATCAAAGTTCGTGCTAGTTGAATTCAAGATCATCGTTCGTGCAAACAAATATAGGTTCAAGATCAAGCTCAAGCTCAAAGGCCCTTGAATTTATTTACTATTGGAAAGAAGAATCAGAGGATTCATAGAGATTGTAATACTCAAATATTTAAAATAAAATACTATGATTGTTGCAATATTTTTCAGTCTCGATTATTTTCTTTACGCAAATTTATTGTCTACAGTAACTTCAAACAAATATAAGTTCATCACTTCTGAATTTTATAATTTTAAATATAGGCAGAAATTGTCTCGAGTACTATATATCTTTTAGAATTTGTGGCATGAAAACTCTAGAAGCATTAGACTTGTCAAACAATCAATTTCTAGGAGAATTACCAACAAAACATACATCGCACTATTACAAATATATTTGCATTTAAAAGAAAAACAAATTCACAGGTGAAATACTAAAACCTTTTCTTTCATTGATTTAATTATTCTTGAACCTAGTGACAATTGTTTCTCTGGCGTGATGCTGGATTGAATGTGTCAAATGACAGATTGTTATTATATTTTTGTCTCAAAATGAGCTTCAAGGTCCAATATATCTACCATCTTTCATCTTTTGTTGAGCGGGGTAATGTAGTCATTAAGTTGGATTAGGGCTGTGTATGGATCGGATCGGATCAGTTTTAGCACATTTCAGATTTTAGATTTTATAAAATGCAATCCGAATTAATATCGGATCGGATCGAATTTTAAAGTTGGGATCGGATAAATATTTCGAATTTTCGGATCGAATTACACATATTATTATGGTTATTGCTAATCTAATAGGCTAATGCATCTGCCTTATCTGCTTCTTCTGTGTTTTGTGCTAATGCAAATATCTCTTTACTTTTCATTCCTTTTATTAGCATTGCATCTCTAAGAAAATATTTTTCTGGAGGTCCGAGTTGTTATGCCTCTAAGTTGCGAAACTCATACTTATATTTTCTTTGTAGAAGAGGCAATACAACAAGAAGATTTTATGTTTATGCAATTATAAGGGTACTATGGTGCCAATGTAGCTAAATCCAGCAATTGTAAAGGTAATAACTTGGAGGAATATGTAAAGGAAGTACTGGCTATCCGAAATTAGAGTTTAGTATTTATACATGCCCTAATAATTTCGGATTTTGAATTTCGGATCGGATCGGGTTAAAATTATACCAATCAGAATCCGATCCGGATATCCAAAATTTTAATAAATATAATCTAAAATCCGATCCAAATATCCGAAATTCAAAATTGAGCGGATCGGTTCGGATTTCGGATATTCGATCCAAATGCACACCCCTAGCTAGATATGGGGAAGGTTTATGATAGAGTAGATTGAGAGTACTTATGCTTGGTTTTGAGGCAGATGGGATTCTCTGAAGTGTGGATTGATAGAGTATGGAGATTAATTTTCAATGTTTGGTATTCAGTCAATTTGAATGGCACACGACATGATTTCTTTATATCCAGCAGGAGGATTAAACAAGGGGATCCACTTTCACCTTTCCTCTTTGTCATTGGAGCAGAACTACTATCTAGACTGTTGATCAACTTACTAGAGGAAGGATTCATTCCTTACTTCACTAAAAAGAAAGGCCCTATAATTAGCCATCTATGTTATGTAGATGATACCATACTATTCTCTTCTGGAGATTCAGTATCCTTGAAATTATTGATGACTAAACTGGAAGTTTATGAATCTATGTCTGACCAGAAGATCAACAAGATGGAGTCTGCATTTTATGTATCCTCTAACCTGGATAATAACAATATTAATATGATCAAAGATATTTTCGATTTTAATCAGCTAGATTTTTCAATGCATTATTTGGGATGTCCTATTTACAGAGGAAGAAAAAAGATAGTTCACTTTAACAAAATGGTGGCTAAAGTGGCTAGCAGATTACATGGATGGCTGAGCAAGATTCTTTCTTTTGGTGGAAAAGTTATTCTAATCAAATCTATTTTACATGCTCTTCCTCTTCATCTACTATCTGTATTATATCCCTCTAAAATTGTATTGTCCCAAATTGAAAAAATCATTTCTAACTTCTTCTGGGGAAAGGGGGAAAGCAAGAACAAATTCTATTGGATATCTTGAAGTAACCTTTGCTATCCCACTCATGAGGGAGGGGCAGGATTTAGGTCATTATTTGATATTGGTAATGCCTTCTCTGGAAAGGCATGGTGAAGTTTTAGAACTCAAAATGGTTTGCTTAAGGAGTTCTTGAAAGCTAAATACTGCAAAAGAAAAAATTTTGTGATCAGGAAATGGTCTTATGGGCAACCTCACACCTGGAAAAGATTGATGGATATCAAAAATTATGTTGAAAAATATATATTGTGGAAGATTGGTAAAGGACTAATATCATTCTGGTGGGATAATTGGACTAGTGCGGGGGCATTGGACAAAACTACTCAATTGCTAAATGCCTCCAAAAATACTAAACTCCAAGATTTTATTGAAAATGGTGTCTGGAATATCGACAAGGTGAGAGAGATCCTCCCTTTCAACATTGTAAATTCTACTGTAGAGATTGATATCCACGTAGGGAGGGGAAGATTGGGCCATTTGGACAGTTTAAAATACTGGGACCTTTACCAGTAAATCAGCTTGGCAAACTTTGAGGAAGCATAGGAACAACTCATTTACTACAAATATAATTTGGCATAAAAGACTCCCTTTCAAAATGTCTTTCTTTATGATGACAATGATGCAAAACAGGATCCTAACTGATGAGGCCTCACAGAGATTCTCCTTGCTACCCTCCAAATGTTCTTGATGCGACAATAACAAAGTAGACACGACTATGCACCTTTTTTGTTGAAGTCAGATTGTTAAACATGTTTGGTCTTTCTTTGGTAACAGTTGTGGTATTAATAACAAGTATGGTGATATTAGGCAACTTCTTATATGTTGGTGGTTATACAAAGCAAAAAATGGAGCACATGCAATACTTCTACAATGCCTCCAAACAATTATATATTGGAAAATTTGAAAAAGTAGATGCACTGCTAGATTTGAGAATGTGCAGATGATAGTGAGATTCATTATCCAAAAAGTGTGCAAAAACATGACTATTTTGCTGCATAGTCAATTTTTCAATTTGCAAATGCACCAGTCTTGGATTGAAATGTGTTATCATGTGGAAAGGGCAAAACAATTAGTCTCGAGCCATATAGTGAGGTGGAATAAACCTCAGGAAGGTTGACTTAAATTGAATGTCGATGGGTGCTCGAAAGGAAATCCAGGTAGCTCTAGTAGAGATGGTATCATCAGAGATAATATGAGATTTTTTGTTTTGGCTTATGCAGGGTATTATGGCGAGAGTAGTAACAACTTGGCTGAGGCTAAAGCTATACTACATGGGTTGAATCTTTGTATAAGCAGGGGATTTTGGCATATTATTGTAGAGTCTGATTCTCAATTGATGATTAATTAGATTAACAACAAAATGAAAGCTCCTTGGCAGATTAAGGATATCATCGATCAGATTATTGAACTCTCCAGTAGAGGTAATTTTATTTGTGTTCACACTTACAGAGAGGGCAATGTAGTTGCTCATCATCTAGCTAACTTTGGGGAAATGATAAGAGATCAAGTGATATTTGAGGAAGCTATCTCCTTACCAAAGGAAGTTAAAGCCTCAGTGAGACTTGATCGAGCTAACATTCCAAACTTCAGAATAAGGCTAAGGAAGAACCATTTTGTTTTAATGATGCTAACACTAGATAGTATTGGATCTTGTATAATCCTACTTAATGTGAACGTAACATCTTTTTGTGAAGCTAATAGCACACAAAATGTAATGGAGGAAACCTTCCAGGTTAGTCATGCATTTTGTTACCATTTGTATATAAGAATGATAGTTATCATTCTTCAACATGTTTTGGAGGCTAAGGTTTATGTCCTTCTTTGTGTAATACTTATTTTTGACTATATACATGTTGGGGTTCTGCCTAAACCTCCCACTGATGGTGGCCTTAATTAAAAAAAGAAAAGAAAGAAAGTAATATGCGGGCCATTTCCATTTATTTTAGTCAATTGGAATTACTAAACACCTCCTCAACAAAAATCACATAAGTGGCAATATTACATATGCATTCCTAAACAACACTTTTTTGTTCGAATCTCAATGATAATAATTTTTTAGGAAGCATTTCACAGTTGACTAGCAATCTCTTTACATCGAATATTCTTCTTCTTAAAAGCAACCAATTTGAAGGTGAAATTCCAAATCACCTATTATGCCATCTACGAAGTTTAAGAATGATTAACTTGTCATACAAAAAACTTAATTGTTCAATTCCTTGTTACTTGAGTAATAGATGAAATGACATCATTCAACTAGCCACAACTTGGATAGTGGCGTTCTATCAGTATTTTGAATTATCTTGTTAAAATTATATATACTCCATTTGAATTCAAAGTGAAGGTAAACTTACAACAATGAGTTCTTCTTATGAAGGTAGCATCCTACTTTACATATTTGAAATTTATCTTTCTTTAAATGAGCTTATGGAAAAATACATAGACCCTGGAAAAAAAAAATTATCCAAGTTTAATTAGTGTAAAATCAAATACATATTTTATATTATACTATATATANTTAATCTCTAATTTGTTATTCATACATTATAATCCCAGTATAGCTTGTTCATAAACCAAACAGAATATGGTTTTCCAGAGAAGATTGCATTTGTCAAAAACGAAAAGAATTGCAGCACGAATATGGAACAGTAGAAAGTAAGAGGGACCAAATTAGATTAGCAAAAATAGAGTACTGAATACTAGTAAAAGAATAAAAGGTAAGCACTTCACTTTCCGGCGTAGTACTCTTTGCTTCCGGTACAATTCTACTGCCCTCTCTCTGCTTCTGCATGCTTTTAGTGTTTCGATTTGTTAAAAAATCTCAATTATCTTTAGAGGATCTCAACAATGGTGAGAGGCTTGCTTCGTCAGCTTGGCGCTCAGTCACTCTCCGTCGCCGGAAAATGGCAGCAACAACAGCTCCGCCGCCTCAACATCCACGAGTTTCAGGTTATTTGTTCCCGTTGTAAATATGATGTTGATGCTGCGTATGCCTTTGTTGCTTAGGTTCCAAAAAAAAAAAAAAAAAAAAACTATGTATCAATTTTGATTTACTCTGACTTTACAAAAAATGGATCATTTGCGTTGTTGTGTCACTGCTAACTGTTAAGCAATCATTTGCTGTTTGTGAAGTTTTGCTTGTTTCTCATATGCTGCTGATGCCGTTTATATTTCCATTGCATAGGATCTCACTCTGGTATATCTGGAAACTATATGACAATAATAATCAAACATCAATTTTGATCTGGTTTGAATTTTCAGTTTTGAATAAAGAAGGGTCATAAAGATTATCTGAAATGGAACATTTGTGTTGACATGTGGCTGCTAAATGGCCCCCGGGGCTTTGGTTTAGTGGTAAGAGCGCATCACAGCTTGTGATGCGTGGGTTAGGTGCATGTCACGGATTTGATCCTTGCCACAGATAAAAGCCTGGTATTTAAGTGGAGAAGGGTAGAGGGGCGGACACATTATCCACCGAGTTTTGAACCATGCGCCACCGGCCATGGGGATTTCTCGGTTATTAAAAAGAAAAGAAAAAATAGCATGGCTGCTAAATGTAAAGCAATCATTTGGCGTGTTATAATTTTGTGATGTACATGGTAGTAAACTTTTTTCTTGCTTATTAAATTATGGAGCTGAATTGATGGGCAAATATGGGATCAATGTTCCAAAAGGTGTTGCTGTTACTACCCTTGGAGATGTGAAAAGAGCAATTCAAGACGTATTACCTGACCAAAACGAGGTAGTTCAAACAATGCTTCTTTTAATTAGTATTATTATCTAATGTACGACTTCAATTTACATCTCAGGGCAGTGTAATTGATTGCTACTTTTCTCTTTTGGGAGATGCAGGTGGTTGTTAAAGCACAAGTCCTTGCTGGTGGACGTGGGTTGGGAACTTTCAAAAATGGATTTAAGGGTGGAGTTCACATTGTCAAGACTGACCAGGCTGAAGACATAGCCGGTACAAAAATCTGCTTCTACTAGAATTTTTCTATAATGAGATCATCGTGCTAACTAGTAGACTTATAGAGAAAAAAAGAAATAGAGCTTAGTTTGTATAACATCTAGTTGCTCAGTAGCTTTGGTGAACCTTTATCTTGCTTGTTAGACTACCTGGAAACGGAAGATAGCTGTGCTTTTGCTGGCATCATTTTGTCCTGTTAAGTTGCAACGTAAATCATTTTCTTTTTTTGAGAAGCTGCAATGTAAAACCATTTTCAAGATCATAAGAGGCTCAAATATAGAACATACTGTTATTTTACCTTTGGGTGTTTCGGGATTCTCTTGGGCTTTATTGAGTGCTTTTACACTGCTAGTGTTAGTGCATATTTTATTTTGATTGCCAAGGAAACTATATTGTTTTGACTTGTTGCCTCAAGTGATTTTTTCCATGCTATTAAAAAAGGAAAAGAAATTGTAATGCTGTTTAAGTGTATTGTGGTGTGTGCAGTGAGGTTATTATGGTTCACCGTTGTGCTCAAGTGGAGCATCCTTGCATTTGAAACTGATTTCAGTGGCATTTGGCTGAATGTGAGCTGGTGAAGATAAGAATTATAATATTATTCCTTAAATGGAGCCTGGAAGTAAGGGATCTGAAACTGATAAATTGAATTCTAGATGTCCATGCATGGTTGAGGCCCTGTATGTTCAAGTGAAAGAATATGCTGGACCTGTTTATCTTGGGCTATTTCAAAGATGTCCTGGAGAATTCTTGTCATAACATGTTACAAGCATGAGCATTGTTTGCATTGGTACTTTTAAAGTTATCACTGTAAAATGCTTAAAAGAAGTTTACCATTTTGCTCATGCTGTTGGCTACTTGGCTTTAGGGAAGATGCTCGGACAGATACTTGTTACTAAACAAACTGGAGCTCAAGGAAAAGTTGTCAGCAAGGTTTGCCGTCTTTATCCCCATTTACTCGTCAAACATATCGCATGATAACTCATAAAATCTGGATTGTTAAGAATATCTGCACTTGACTTTGTCAGTTGACACCCTTGTTTGATTTATAGTTTAAACCCTTCCAAAAGCAGTTCAATGAACCCACTTCTCTTTAGTTAGATTATATTCAAATATAATTTCTTTCTTTTTTATACTGCACTTCTAAGTACAATCATAGTTTCAGTCAGTTGCACAAAAGAAAATAGTTTAGGGTAATTGATGCCTACAAACTGGTGGATGAAAATAGTTTAAGCTGATTGAGGTGTTTCTTTCTTTTGACTGCATGATTTTTTTTGTTATATTCTTTTGACTGCATGATATTAGGCTTTCATTAAGCCTTAGTTTATTAGAGGAAACCAAGGAAAACTCTTTTTAAGGGGCTGGTTTAGCAATATTTTCAGCAGTTGGAAAGGAACATGAATGCCAAATTCCAGTAGGCACTTATTATTAGTAGAATTATATGCTTGCAAAGTTGTCCCAGGCTCTATTTCATAAGAAAAAGGACCTAAAGAAAGAGGAATTTCTAATTCTTCCCCTTCAAGAAACTAATTAAGAGAAAATAACATACTTCCAGAAACAACTAGGAAACTAGAATTTTTTATAAGTGAGGCTCTGGTGCACTTGGCAGGAAGACGACTCTTTCTCGCAAGCTGGGCCGGATACCATCGTCATAAAAAACAACTAGGACACAAGCACCTAAGAATTAGCGTAACAACAACAACATACCCAGTATAATCCCACATAGTGGGGTCTGGGGAGGGTAGTGTGTACGCAGACCTTACCCCTACCCTGTGGAGGTAGAGATGTTGTTTCCAATAGACCCTCGGCTCCTAAGAATTAGCATAGTGATTTGATAATTGACTCCTACAGTACCTATGAACTAAAGAAAAAAATAAAAATTACTATAGATTCTACAAAGACACGTGGAACAGTGATTTTTTTGTCCCTCTGGCCCTTTATCTTTATCTCTTATTTGATGATATACTTTAGCTTCAAAGTGATCCGATATTGAGCATTTATATCTGTATATTTCTGTTTGAAATTTTCATTGTTGAGGTTTACGGCTATCAAATTAAAATGCAAAAGAATATTGACTATTCTGGGAATTTGCTTGCATGTTCTATTTAACTTAATATTTTTTTTTATTTTTATTTTTTTTTGGCAGAGAAAATATACAACCTATCAAGGATTCTGTAACAGTCATGCATTCCATAAGCAATCTTTGGTCGTTTTTTATGTACAAACAAATATTTATTTTCGAAGAGAAAAAAAAATATTTGCTAACAAAAAGATTTTAAGTTGGAAGGGAAAAATACTTTTCACTTCAAGTTTATGTTTCATAAGTTGACTCAAGTATCAGCTCTTGTGGAATACAGATTATTGATTAACATGCCACAGTTAACTAATGTTTTGGTTGATGTTACTGCTAGATAATCTAAATATAATTGTTAGCAAAACTTTCATTTAATTTTGTCAGAAGGTGTAATTTCTGATCACACAACACTATTCTAGTAATGCTACAGTGCTACTGGCACCAGGTGTGCCACTGCTATTACTAGGGTTACTTGGATTTCTGATGTTCTTTTATATGAATTGTGCAGGTTTATCTTTGTGAGAAGATGCCCCTTGTGAATGAAATGTACTTCTCTATCATACTTGATCGTGCAACTGCTGGCCCTGTAAGTTTCAAAACTTGCTTCGGCAGTTCAACGTTCTCTTTGAATAATGATAATGTTTGAGTTTGCTCAAAATTCATAATCTTGTTAACTGTTTCCATTGCATCACTTCATATTCACCCAACACCATTGTAGCTACTTAAAGAAACTAAAAGTGGAAAGTTAGAATGAAATAGTCAAAAAAGGAAAAAGAGTTTTCTTAACCAACCTTATTTCAAATGGAATGTTTATCCATCTTTCTCAGTCCATGTCAAAATAACGTCCACTTTATTAGAAAGGGCAACTCAGGCATATTATCCTCTACAGAATAGTCATATGTACATTGGCGCATGTTTGCTATTTATACTTTTTCCGCTATCATATTCGTTGATAACAAAAGTACCATCTTGGCATAATTTCCCTCTTTTAAACAGTGAACATACTACATTTTCAACTTTGCTTTTGATAATCATGTAAAAGTCAAATAAAGACATCCAATATGAAAGGGAGTATTAATTACAATAAGATACTGATTGGAAGATGAATGAAAACTTATTTAGATGCATGTGCTGCATTTTATATCTTTCCATTCTAAGAATGTTGTAGCTCAGTGTTGCGTGGAAATTGATTGCATATTTATTGTTAATATCAACTGTGCCTGATGCATATGTTCTTCATATCTGGTCACTGATGAGTAGGTTTCTATCCAAACAACTCGCTCTCTTCTCTAATTCAAGAGCAAGTCATGCTTGCTTTCACCTTGGCCCTTTTGATGACTTGCTAAGGCATCCGATCGTATTTGACAATTCCTAACTGCTTATCTTTTAGGAAGGTCAAGCAAAAGGTGGCAAGTATATATATTGGTTCATTCCACTCCAAGAGCAAAATGGATCTGGATTGCAAGAAATTAGAAATTTCAGGATACAACCCTTTTCGCTTTAAGTTCTTAGTAATTAAATGGTTATGTGGGGCTGTCATCTCCAAAACCCTAATTGGTACTTCTTTTAGTGATGAAGTTGAACAGGTAGATACTGGTTATTGCATTAAAATCAACCTCTTAGCTAAGCTGCTTGCTCTTGCAGCTCATAATTGCCTGTTCAAAGGGAGGTACCAGTATCGAAGACCTGGCTGAAAAATTTCCTGACATGATTATAAAGGTTGCTTTTGCTTCAACGTTCAAATCCAACCTTTTGCAATTTTGTTTCGTGCTATTTTTCTCAAGTAAAATACTTTTTCATTCTGTAATTTGCAGGTTCCCATTGATGTGTTTAGAGGAATCACTGATGAAGATGCTGCAAAGGTCGTTGATGGTTTGGCTCCTAAAGTAGCTGACAGAAATGATTCAATTGAACAAGTGAAAAAGTTATATAATATGTTCTGTGAATGTGACTGCACAATGTTAGAGGTAAGCAGTTCATGAATTCTTTAGGGCTTTCCTAGAGCCAACTGTTCCGCATGTTTAGAGTTTGTAGAAAACATGCCTCTCCCTATGCCCCTAAATCTGTACCGGTATTTATTGGGCACTGGGCAGATCAACCCCCTTGCTGAAACATCTGATAACAAGTTGGTAGCTGCTGATGCTAAGCTCAATTTTGATGATAATGCTTCTTACCGTCAAAAAGAAATTTTTGCTCTCCGTGATTCATCACAAGAGGATCCTCGTGAGGTACTCCTTATACTTTCTTTTGATGATGACATGCTTCTTTGTCCTACGCAAGTATATACAAGTTCTCATTTTGGGGCTGACTGTTATTGTTTAACTCAGGTTGCTGCTGCAAAAGCTGATTTGAACTATATTGGCTTAGATGGAGAAATTGGTTGCATGGTGAATGGCGCTGGGTTGGCAATGGCTACCATGGATATAATTAAGCTTCATGGAGGGACTCCAGCCAACTTTCTTGATGTTGGTGGTAATGCCTCTGAAGGACAAGTATGTCTAATTTCTTGGCGGTACATCGTGAAGAATGCTTGTGGTCATGTTTTCATGTTTTCCAGAAATTGCTCTTAATAATAACTTAACACTTGTCTCTATAAATAGAGATAATAAATCAACATTCGTTCAGAGCGGAGGTTCAGTTTTTGGCTTAAAAATGTGTTGCTTTTCTTTCCAAAGTTTAAAATTCCTCAATACCTTTTAACTTTTTCTCTTGTATTCGGAGTAGGTTGTGGAGGCTTTTAAAATTTTGACTTCAGATGAGAAGGTAAAAGCAATCCTGGTTAACATCTTTGGAGGAATAATGAAGTGTGATGTGATAGCCAGTGGTATTGTCAATGCGGCCAAACAGGTTAAGTGTTGTTTTAGCTTTGGTGATTGATCAGGGTTGTGTAGATCAAGATGCATTCTCTTTCAAAATTAGCTTTTGGTGTCTGCCATATTCTCGCCAGATATCGATAATGAATGGCCCTTTTTACTAAACCCCCTTTCCTGTTAATGATTTGTCTTTTCCGGAGTTCTTTTAGCTCACCCTTTTCCCCCTAATGAAGAAAAAAGAGAAAAAGAGGAAATTAAAACGTCTAACTCCATCTATGACCTTGAGACTGCATGAAGCTTCATGCATATATGCTGATTCTTCCATTTTTTCTTAAGGTTCAATTGAAAGTGCCAGTGGTTGTTCGTCTTGAGGGTACCAATGTTGAACAAGGGAAGAGAATTCTAAAGGTAAATTCTGAATTTCATCCTCTAGGCAGGAACTTATTTACTGCACTTGGCAGTTGCTAATTATTGTTTCCATCAGAGAACTCAGTCTCAAGTGGTAATTGCTTTCTGCCCTGGTTTGTCTGTGCAGGAAAGTGGAATGACCTTGATAACTGCCGAAGATTTAGATGATGCGGCTGAGAAAGCAGTAAAAGCAACTGCTAGTTGAGTGGAAACCACTTTTATAGTTTATTTCATAGTCTCTCCCTTTTTGACAGGAAACATCTGAATGTCCACATTTCGAGTGTACAAGAAGAAAATAGGGATTAAATTCTTCTTGATAAGACTTGGAGATGTTATTCAGCTGTGACCTAACTATCGGTCCTATTGATCCTTACCCCTCTGATTTTACCCTTTCTTTATTGATGATTGTGTTGTTCCCAGCTTCTGGAACTTTGAGAGTATCCTAAAAATTACTGGCCTTTAGAACCATATTTTTTTGTGGTCTTGTCGATAAACTTAGAATAAGCCTTTTAATATCTCCCAGTTAGCCATGGGAACAGTTATTATACACGAGTAAAGTTGTTCAAATTGATTTGTTCCCTATCCAAGAAATTCTATTTGATGCGTCTAGGTAAATTGCTCCATCTACTTTATGAATAGGGCAAGCATCTTTTTCGGCGTAATCCGAGTATCGTGTGTTAGGCAGTGGTTGAATTTGCATGGAGGTGGATAGCTATCATTGAATGCAAAATGGTAACAGTTTAGTTGCATTTCTGTTTTCAGTGCATTGGTTGAAATTGGAAATGGTAAATTTTATTTTCTAGATAAGTTCACAAAGTTATTCTGGGGTGAGGGAAACAAATGTATGTCATTTACATATGTCTGAAACTAGCTTTTCCTTATGCATTGACTCTGCTATTCTATTGGCAATGCAATAAGCAGTGGACTGTATAGTGATCATTGGGTTGACACCAACTGCTGTAGGAAGCACACTTCCATCACATACATATAAGCCTTTTGCTTCCCAGCATTCTCCGTTCTCATCCACTGCTCCATCTTCCTCATTCGCCCCCATCCGACAGCTTCCCATTTGATGTGCAGAGCCATAGATTGCCCACTGTTCTCCTTTAGAGCTTGGCCCTCCAGTAGCTCCAACTGTGTCCAGAAACTCTTCCAACTCTTCATTCGTGATCCCTTTACAACTGATTTTCTGTCCATCACTTCGATATGTTCCCACTTCAGCAGCTCCTGCTGCTACCAGGATCCTCAATGCCCTTCTTACACCTGCTTTGATATTCTCTTTATCAATTTCATCCAGTCTGTACTTTATCTTCCCTGCCTTCTTTACTTCTCCTGAACCTTGATCTTTTGCCAATGCTAACAGATTTGCTGTTCGCGAGTACTTTGTCATCCTCTCCTTCATATCCTGCCCAGAAGTCCATGGGAAAAAGCAGGCGAAAGAAGCAGGTCCCAGAGCTGTAGCTTCTATTATGGCCTGTGCATTAGTTTCTTCAGGCACCATCTTATGAACGGCTGTCATTATTCCTCCCTCATAATTCTTACCTTTGATTTCAGACATGGATTCAGGGAAGTATCCCCACGCCAAAAGAACAGGGTGGAGGTGGAGGTTTGTCCCAATGTTCTTGTTCTTAAGTCCACTGGAAATCAGTAAGGGAGGTGTCAAGAGAGATCCACAGGAAGAAATCGTGGCGCGAGCTTCAATGTGCAGCTTCTTAGTGATCTTCTTGCTTTCAGTTGTCGCAATAACTCCAATACATATCTTCTCATTCATGTCATCTTCCAGTATGAACCTTTCTGCAGTGCATCCAGTCAAGATAACGGCGCCTGCGTTAACAGCATCAACAAGCCAAGTGGTATCAGTCCCTTTCTTGTCTCCTGTTTTACAACCATAACCACAAGAACCACAATAATGATTCTCTGAAGAATTTCTTGGTATATTTTCCACCTTCAAACCAAGATTTTCACACCCTCTTCGTATTGCTTGATTCTGAAGTCCTTCGTTGGCGCAATTCTCCGTCACACCAATCCGTTTGCAGACTGCATCCATGGCAGACTGATATTCAGAAGTTCCAAACCATGGAATCTTGTGCTTCACAGACCAGTCATTGAGAACATCAGTTGGAGTTCTAATGGAAGCAGACCAGTTTACAGCAGATCCACCACCAACTGTCGTTCCAGCCATAACCATTACTTTTCCATCATCAGTAGTAAGCATTGCACCTGTCTCATACAGTTCATTCATTGAAGGACCTTCAAGACCAGAATAATCTTCTGGCACAAAGTAATGACCTTTCTCGAGCACGATGACTTTGTGACCTGATTTTGCAAGGATTGCTGCTGCAACACCTCCTCCACATCCAGAACCAACAATCACAACATCACACCTTATCTTAAAGGTGTTGTCTTTTGTATCCTCAGTAAGAGGAACACCTTTCTTTGATAAGGATTCTTTCAAAGTTTCATCACTCTCATTTATGGTTTCCACAATCCCTTTTTCAAGTGGTCTTTCTTTATGGTTTTCAGATGGAGTCTGTCTTGTGTCTGGTTGATACCCAATTGCTTCCCATGCTGGATTCTTGCAATTTTCATCAGTCTGCACAGAACCAACCAAGTATGCATAGTGAAGAATAGTTCCAACATGTTACCATCAAAAGGCAAGAAAGTGTAAAACCAATTATCCAATAATTGAGGCTTATCACTAATTTCATCAGATTCAGTTCCTTTTCTAGTTTCGGATAAATACAAGGTCATTATCTTGAAAATACTACTTTAAAAGCATGTGCAATAATTAAGTAGGGCAGAAAGGAGCATTACCCAAGAGAAGAAGATGAATAAACACACAGTTTTGATCAATAAGAAAGTAATTCTCAGAGGAAGGAGAAAACTTTCTCTGGACCATCTTTGCAGAAGAGGTTCTCTTTGCTTTAAGGATAATTCAGAGAAGTTGTGAACAAAAGGCCATCTCTTATCCAAGCATACACGTCCACAAAGCACAAGACTCCCTAATCTTGTTGATAACAAAAACACAACTATCCTTATTATGAGCATTGCCTCAGGGTTGCTTCTCTTCACCAGTAGCTCTGCAACCTATTCACCAACCAATAAAAACAGGACATCAACAGAAAAAAAAATAAAAAAAAAAATACATTCAACCCAATCATATTAAAAGGGGTGAAATTTACCTCATTGGGGAATGGAGGCTGAGAAGCAGAAGAAGAAAAGAAAGAATCAAGAGCTTTGTTATTGAAAGGTGATACAAGTTGAGGATCATATGGGAGTGGAGGAATGAGAGTTTCACAAAAGGAAGCAATAGTTTGGATTTGAGAAGAAGAGAAGCCATGGCTATAAGGACGGCTAATTCTTCCTCCTTTCAATGAAGAATGGCATTGTTTTCCCTTCATCTTTTTTTGTTTCTCTTGAGCTGTTGATGCTTTGTATTTATATCCACTCCTTATCCTTGTTGTTTTCTTACTTCTGCTTAAGATTTCTGTGGATTAGAATTAGAATTATCATTGGTTTTAACCCTGGTTGTTAATTTTATTAATTTCTATAGACTTGGGATCCCTTTCCTACTATACTATTACTGAAGAGGTTTCAAGTATAAGGATCAAGTTTTTTAACTTTCTGTCTCAATTTGTTTCAAATATATAATTCAAAACTATATATGAAAAGGAAAACAAATTACAACTTTTTATGATGAAAAATATTTATGTTTCTAAGTTGTGACTTTCTGGTTTGTGCATGTCATAATGTCATCGATGAAAAAGAGAGATATTTTCTCGAAGGTCAGAAATAGAAATATATTTGGTTTTGACATACGAAATTTTGTAGTTGAAAGTTTTTTAGGTTCTTGTAGGATTGAGATCCTACTCCTACTAGGCTATTAGTTGAAGTATTAGAATTGTAACCATCCACGTGTAACATTGCTCGACATTTCTGGTACTTTATGATATTCTCTAATACTAACAACACATTCGGAAATTGAGTTAGTATCTTCAAGATCTATATAAAAAGTTAGAAAAACTTAGGGAAATCAAGAATATGTGTATTTTGGAGTATTTCTCATTTCTAGTGCAAATTTGAGAAAATTTCAACGAAAAATTAGGAATTTGATAAGAGTTTTACTGCTTTTATTGTGTGTATGGTGACATTTTAATAACCACTGAAAATTGTTTGTTTCTTCAACTTATGTTGGAATTATTTGATTGGACCTCAATTATGGCAAATTTAATTTGAGCAACTATCAGTCGGTTCAAATTCCAATTCAAAAATAGACTCAAATATTTATCTCAATTATTTTAATAAGGAAAAAATAAACGATCAATATCCCTTCACAGCCAACATTTTCACAATGTATCGATCCCAAGACGAATTCCTAGCAATTTTGTTCTTCCCAAATTTGGGTAAATACTTATCCGCATACAAATTTGTGTCAAGAAATGACGAAATATTTCAGATTCCATAAAAACTTATTAAGTGATTTTTAAGGAAAAGAAAACAAACTTTGCTTGAAAGAAGAATGTTAAATACGCAATTAATATAATCGTCGGTTTTAGTTTCAAACGAAACTCAACAATAATGTGAAATTTGGAATTTGCACATTCCCCTTACGTAATATTGTTGCCATTTCAAAAACCAACTGTTGCTATGTTTCAAAGGGAGTAAGGAATAGAGATGGCAATTTCAAAAACATAACTTCACATGGAAAAAACTATCATGGGTTTTGATGGAATAGATTATATCCCTCTATTTTTAACTAGTCATAACGGTAAAATATTTCTTTTTGGTAGGAAGTATTATTCCTTTAAATGGTCGTTACACGGCACGAATCTTAAGAGAGAATGACACAAATAGGATCATTTGGTGCCACCGTTGAAATTTTGACCCAATAGGAGAAAGTCCCGAGAAAATAGTCTCGGGTTAAAATATTGAAGCATAGTGGTAATAGATTTTTGGGTAAGTCTTATGGTGATTCGTCATATTTCTGACGATTGACATAATTTTGCAAGTTATGGTGATTGTCACAAAATTCTAATGGTTGCAATATTTTTGTGCATTGGAATTATGGCAACTGTCAAATTTTTGACTGTTGCTATATATTTGAGCAATTGGCCATAAAATTCTAACCAATCGCTAAAACATATCGCGCATTGTGGCTGGAAATTCTGGTGATCATTAAGACTTCTGATGCTTCAAAATTCTGGCCAACGTGTTATAAAATTCCGATGTGGGGTTATTTTTTAAAAAAAAAATTTAAATTTTTTTTCTTAACGGGGTCAAAATATACATAATAGTTTAGGGTCCATCCAGTGTCACTTCCAGGAATCCGAAGTAGTCAGGGACCTGTACGGGTCAAAATCTATCTATAGAATACTCAAGTCAAAATGGCATTAGTAAAACATTCCCAAGCCGCCACGTGTCGAAATGATCTAAGAAACAATAAAGGTCGTGTTCGACGAGTCAGCAAGGGCTGAAGTCGAGGAGTAATCAAGGATGGAGGCCGAGGTCGAATACCCTTGATAAAGTTATAACGACTAGTTTCAAGATAGGACATTAAAGAGAATATTCTAGTGAATATTCTCTGCACTTGTACTATTAGGGTTTCTAGGAACATGTTCCCTATAAATAGAAAGAGACACAATGATATGAGACATGAGATATTCATTTGTAAAATACACTTTGACTTTAAAGGAAGAATCTAGTCTTATTGCAAGCCTACAAACACAACCTTTTCTCTAAGGTTCTTGTCCACACTTTTCCACTAGATCCGAGAATAACTCGAATATTTAAAGGCTTATCCATCATTCATCATTGTGAGAAAGAACATCCATTGATTTCATCCTTTCTCGGGTGACTCATTTGTTCTATTTACATAAATGTCATTTATTATTATTCATCATTATTTAATGCTACATTACTTCTGTTTGGTTTCTTAAATATTGATTATTGTACACTGTCATAGCTTTTGGAATAGATCTACGTGCTATTTATCACACTACCAAGAATTTTATCTTTAGGATATTATTATTAACCAGGATTAACCCTCATTTGTATAAATTTAATTAGTTGAACCAAGATCTATATTTTTGGTCAAATAATTTGGCGCCGTCTGTGGTGATTTCTTAGTTAATTTTTTAGTTTTCTTTAGATCTACAGCTAACGCCGGTCACTAACCTTATAGACCCCAAGATCTTTTTTCTTTGTACGTACAAAAACCTACATGGTAGGTAATCAAGGAGAAAGGACAAAAGTAACTGGTGATTTCCCTAGCAACCTCATGAACGCTATCAACGAAAGCTGTGAAATAGTTGGCGAGGACATGACACCCAACGCTTCCCCTAGGTGCGAGAGGTCGCCTTACCCCCATTGTAGCATAACAAAATCTAGCGGAAAGAGGCCTCCACGTATGCAGAAGAAGGAACACCCCCAGTTGTTAAAACGTTCCTCGAAGCATGGCTGACCGACACACTAGTGAGCTTGCTCAATAAGCCCGGTCCAGGCATGAACATAGAAACCACAAGAGATTGCATGATACAACGAGCAGACGAACAGTGTAACGACCAAATCCTTCGACAATAGGTATAACTCACAATATTTCTAACAGTGTAGGTGACAGCGCCCTCGTGCCGTTCTAAAGAGGATGGAAGAAAAGGAGAATGAAAACAAAGCACTCCGAGACCAGATGAAAGAACACCAAGAACGAGTTGACAAGATACCGTGCGCTCCTAAGTTGTTGCCAAAAAGGGACATCGGCAGGTTCGTAAAGCAGCCGTACAACGACGAAGCAGCCCCGCACGCCATACCAAAGACCTTCAAATTTCTGCCCTACTTCAGGATATACAAAAGAACGACCGATCCCGAGGATCATGTGACCCATTATGTCACCGCCGTGAAAGGCAACGACCTCGCCAAGGAACAAATGTCCTCTGTTTTGCTGAAGAAGTTTGGCGAAACCCTTACGGGATGGGCATTTACATGGTACTCACAGCTACCAGCCCGCTCCATATAAACTTTCGAGAAAATGGCCGATAAGTTCATAACTATCCATGCAGGAGCCAAGAAGGCCGAACCAAGAGTAAACGACATATTCGCTGTCAAGCAGTCCTTGGGAGAGGGGCTGAAGGACTTCCTCGCCCGATTCAAGAGAATAAGGATGACTCTGTCGAGCATGCCCGAAGGGATGGCAGTCGTAGCTTTCCAGAACGGGTTGAGTAGAGATGGTTCGAGAGAAACTAGAAAATTATTGTGCCGATTGATGAAATGTCCTCCAACCAATTGGGAAAAAATCCATAATGCTTATTGTGCCGAGGTTCGAGCAGATGAGGACGACCTCAATGGACCAACTCATCGGCTAATCTCGGTGCAAACCGAATCCAGAAAAGAACGAAGAGAAGACATCAGGAGGGATTACCCGGTCTCGCGACCCAACAGGGAACGATACCAGCCATACGTCAGGGCGGCCGTCGCACATTCCCTTCGCTATGAAGAAGGCCCATCCAGGCCAAGGATAGGGACTCACCGAAACTAGAGAGGTATGACCCCCTTATTATCTGCTCACAATTTTTGTGTGTCACCTATAGAAATAGTCTATGCTCTTGAGAAACTCGGAACAAAGGTAAAGTGGCAGCCAAAGATGAGATCCGATCCGAACATCAGAAAATCTGACACCCTCTGTGAGTTCCACCAGGAACGTGGACACAAAACAGAAGATTGCACCACCCTTAGACAAGATGTCGTAAATATGTTGCCGCAAGGACAACTCAAAGAGCTGTTAAGAGACAAGGGGAGAAATAACTTCACTAAAGGATGTAAATACCAAGGCTCGCCGAAGCCGCTATCACCAGCTTGTACTATCAGCATGATCATCGGCGGTGGTAACAACACATCTATCAACGTCGTGAAGTTCACCACCACTCACAAGCTCAAGCGGTCTATCACCCGCGAACGGTATGACAAACTCGAAGAAAGTATCATCTTCGATGAGTTAGATGCTAACGGTTTGACTTTCCCTCATAATGATGCCCTCGTCATTACTTTATGCATTTTAGATACTGTTGTCAAATGTATCATGGTGGACGGTGGAAGTGGAGTGTGCATTATCCATCCCCAAGTCCTTACCCAAATGAGACTCGAGGACAAGATAGTGTCGTACTGAATCACGCTAACCAATTTTAATAATGCAGTTAAGCGGACGTCAGGGGAAATTACACTCCCTGTCTTGGCAGGCGGCGTGACTCTGGAGACGAAATTTCACATTATGGACCAGGCCACTACGTACAATGCCATAGTGGGACGACCATGGATACATCCCATGAGAGACTTCCCCTCCAGCCTATACCAAGTAATTAAATTTCCAACACCATGGGGAATATTCAGCATAAGAGAAGAACAACGCACGTCCTGAGAATGCTACCGTATTGCCTTAGATAACACGATAATCTAACAGAAAAAAACAAGGAGAAAGAGGCATAGCAATCAGTAGGGCCGAGGTCGATGCAATAAGAGACTAAGGATGTCATCGTAGATCCCGAAATGGTCGAGGTTATGGATTCAACCATAGAGGACCTCGACCCCATTCAATTAGACCTCAATGATGGTAGCAAAAAGGCCTACATCGGCTGAAAACACCGGGAACTAGGTAAATTCAGTTAATTCTTAATAACTAATGCAGATTTGTTTGCCTTCAGCCATGCAGATATGTCGGGCATCCCTAGGAAAATCGCCACACACAAATTAAACGTCGACCCATTCTACCCCCAGTAAGTCAACTCAAGCGTAAATTCAACCTCACCATCAATGATGCAGTCCGCGAGGAGGTGGAGAAACTATTAGAAAATGGCTCCATCAGGGAGTCGAAGTACCCCAAGTGGATCCTAACGTAGTGATGGTTAAAAAAGAAAAATGAAAAATGGCGTATGTGCGTGGAATTCACAAACTTGAACAAAGCATGTCCGAAGGATTCGTTCCCGTTACCCCACATTGACCAACTCATTGACGCAACGGCCGGGCACGAGGTATTGAGTTTCTTGGATGCGTACTCAGGCTATAACCAAATACTTATGGAGGAAGAAGACCAAGAGAAGACCACATTCATCACCCACCAAGGAACATATTGTTATAGGGTCATGCCGTTTAGGCTGAAGAACGCAGGGGCTACATATCAAAGATTGGTCACAAAGATGTTCAAAGACCAGCTTTGCAAAACCATAGAAGTATATTGTAACGACCCGACTTGTCATTTTAAGAACTTATGCCCCGTTCAGTGACGTAAGGTCCCAAGAAATTTTGTAATATGTATAATGACTTGCGTGTGCAGTCGAGTTTGGCTTTTGAAAGATTCGGAATTAAATTGGAAGAACGATCCTTATTTTTGAAGCTTAAATGAAAAGAGTTGACTGGAATTTGACTTTTGAGAAAACGACTCTGGAATAAAATTTTGATGATGTTAATAGCTTCGTATGGTAATTTTGGAATTAGGCGTATGTCCGGATTTGGATTTGGAAGTCCGTAGGACAATTTGACGCATTTTGGCGAAAGTTAAAAAATGGAAGTTTTTAGAAAGTTTGACCAGGAGTTGGCTTTATTGATATCGGGGTCAATATTCGATTTCGGAGATTGGAGCAGGTCCATTATGTCTTTTAAGACTCGTGTGCAAATTTTGAAGTCATTCCGGATTGATTTGATATGTTTCGACACGAGTTTTGGAAGTTGAAAGATTTGGAAATTTTATGAGTTCGATTTGTGGTGCGATTCGTAGTTTCGATGTTGTTTGATATGATTTGAAGCCTCGAGCAATTCCACGTTATATTTTAGGACTTGTTGGAATATTTGGTTGAGGTCCCGAGTGGCTCGGGTGTGTTTTGGGGTGAGTTTTGAACGAGTTTGGGCATTTCGGCACTCTAATGATGTTCTGGGAATAGTAGGAGTGCGGGGGCACGTTTTGGAGTACTGAGGCAAATCCTCATGAGTAGACCGCAGAAGGAAAATTGCGGACCGCAGAGGTGAAGTGCGGACCGCAGAATTTCTCTTGCGGCCGCAGAAAGGGAATTCTGCAGGTTCGATGGTCTGACTTCGGAAGCTTATATCATTTGATGTATAAGGAATTTTGAAATGATCCAAAAACGAAAGTTGTAACCCTTTGAGTCTAGTTTTCAGAAAGGTACCAAATCATCATTTGGACATTTGTGCCAAAAGCTATGGTCAATTTACTGAAGCCTGGTAGTGTAGTGGTTGCTAAATTGCGGCCGCACAATTTGGATTACGGCCGCAGAGACTATAAATGTGCGGACCTCACAAAAAGATGTGTGGTCAGAACTTTGGAAGTCAGATGTGGTACCATATAAACGAGGTTTTCATCTCATTTTTTATTTTTGGACCTAGAGAGCTCGGTTTGTGGCAATGTTTCATGGGTTTTTCAAGAAAATCATCGGGGTAAGTGATTCTAACTCGGATTTGGTTAATATACATGAATATATAATTATTTTCATCATTTAATTTAATTAGTATTTTGAGATGAAAATTTTGGAAAAAATTGTAGAAGTTTCATAAAATGAAATTTTTGGGATTTGAATGTCGATTCGGAGTCGGATTTGAGTGAAACTAGTATGGTTGGACTCGTATCGGAATGGGTATTTGGATTTCATGAAAATTCTGCCGGGTTCCGAGATGCGGGCCATGCGTTGACTTTTGGTTGACTTTTTTAATGTAAAATTTTAAGTTGACATTTTATTATCCGAAATTATTTCTAATGAATTTTAATGAAGTTATACAATTAATTTGGTTAGATTTGAGCTGTTCAGAGGTCAATTCAAGCAAGAAGGCGATTTTGAAATATCAGCCTAACTTCAAAACGGTAAGTATCTTGCCTAACCTTGAGTGGGGGAATTACCCCTTAGGCATTGAGTCTTATGTAAAAATTGTGTAATTGAAAACTATGTACGCAAGGTGACGAGTACATACTTAGTTGATATGTACAAATTATATCGGTTGAAATTAGTAGACGCCCTTATGTATTAAATTGAAAAATTATTGGAATTTAGTAAATCCTTGATTTGTCATGCCTCATTCCTTGTTTGTCGAGTTTGTATTTTATATGATAATTTGGTGTGATTGTCACTTGAACTTTTTACGTGAATTCGTGTGTTGGTTAAATTGATATTTCTTTGAAATAATCACATTATGGATTTTTCATCTGCAAATAATTAATTAAATAAGTTTAAATTGAGGTGTTAATATAATTATATAAAATTTGGATTTAAGAAGGCGTTGTTCCTTGATAAATTACTTTCCAGTTCATGTTGTTGAAATTGGTATTGAGTTATAAAGGCCGTAAATCATATTGAGGCAAAGTGTTAAATTGTGAAATATTATTCTGTCGAGTTGTTCACTCCCGGATATTTTTATTAAGATTTTGTGCACATTATGGTCGAGCCATGGGTTCCTTATTGTGAAAAATAATGTATTGTTGATTTCTGTGGTAAGTTATAATATTTGAGCACTTGAGGTACAATTTGTGAGGTGTTGTGATATTGGCACGTGATATTGTTGGGAGGTTTGTTCGGGTGTTTGCACAAGGTTTCTGTCGTGCTATTGTTACTATTGATATATGCACATATGGTGTGACAAGGCGGGCAATATATATGAATTTGCGCATGTGGCGAGACAAGATGAGAATATTATTATGCGCGTGCGGCGAGACAAGGCGGGCATTTACTTTATTATTGTGCACGTGGCGAGACAAGGTGGACTATGTCGGAGATTGATTTGTGATGACTTGTGATGGCCTGGGAGCATTGTTGTTGTTATTTATGATTTGAGACTACGAGGCGGTACCTCGGGAGTGCCCTTTTGTTGATATTTCACTATGGCTGAACTTGCCTTTGGTTATTTTATTTTTCCGTAATATATAAATTTATGTGTTCTCCATGATGTATTATTTGACTTAACATTAAGTGTTTTGTATTTCTTGTAGTATTGTGTTGGCTTTGGCTTTTTCGTATGAGACTCTGAGGATTTGTATTTCTGGTTTGTACTTGTTCTAAATGATTGAGTTGTTTTAAATAAAAGAAATTACTATTATATTTTAATTTAATAAGTTTTACATCCAAATCAGTAGCTTATCTGATACTTTATTTAATTGAAATGTCATTTTCTTCATTCAAACTATTTTTAAAATAAACTCACTTCTTTGTTAAATTCTTACTTGGTTTAAAAATTGTAACCTTACTTTATTGAAAATAAATTGATCGTGCAGATTTTATGTATTGATATATTTGGCACGAGAGTTGTCCGTGTGGTTGTGATAGAGATATAGGCACGAGGTGCCGTGAGAATATGAAAGGGGGTTGAGACCCGTATTTCTGATTATGATATAAGATATTTATTTGAAACGATTTTCTTCCAAAGATCTTTATTCGAATAAAAAACTAGTAGATAAAAGGTGTATATTTTGAAGGACTTGATTAATTGGTTGTGATTGTGTTCATTATTCGTTTGGACAATATTTATGGTGTTCTTGTTGCCTTGCTGTTTACATCACTAGTTGATTATTGTTGCTATCATTGCTATTGTTTTCCAATATTTTTGTATACTATATTGCACAGGTTATTAGACTAGTGAGTGTCTTGATTGTACCTTGTTACTACTCCACCGAGGTTAGTCTTGATACTTACTGGTACCGACTGTGGTGTACTCATATCACACTTCTGTACATTTTTGTGCAAATCTAGGTAATTTGGAGTCAGTTGACCGCTAGCTAGCTGAACAGATCTTGCAATGGAGATTCAAGGTAAACCTATTGCTACGTTCACAGGCTTTGGAGTTACCTTCTGATATTGTACTTGCACTGTTTTATCTCTACTTCAAAATAATTGTATTTGTAGGCTTTCTAGTAACTCAGTAGAGCTTATGACTTGTACTACCGGTTTTGGGATTGTAAGTATTGTATAGAGATTTCTACTTTGCATTTGTCAGTCGTTAATTAATATTGTTATTATTTCAGTAAATGTTAGGCTTACCTAGTCCCTAAGACTAGGTGCCATCACGACATCCTACGGAGGGAGATTTGGGTTGTGATATATATATAAATGACATGTTGGTCAGGTCCATAAAGGCAGAGGATTACATCGATCATTTGAAGGAAGCTTTCGACATACT